TGAGGAATGCGGCATGACTAGCCCGGGCTATGCTTATGCTACCCGGAAGAGTAGCTGGAAAAGTGTTGGTGATGGCTATTTGGCTTGATAGACATGATGATGGAAACTTGATCATATGTTATGTGTATGTATATATATATATATATATATATATATATATATATATATATATATATATATATATATATATATATGTGTTGTATGTGTATGTGTGTGTGAATGTGTGCGCTTATATATAATTAATAAGATAAAAGAATGGGCACAGGTGTACACTCGTACGAGCGAAATCGAGACTAAAGCGAATTTAATGATGTGGGTGCTACTGAACCTTAAAATATTTTTTCAGTAACATTAAGCGCAAGAGAAAGGCGTGTGGTGTGGGGATCCCATGTGCAGAATGGGCGTAGTTAAGTTCCGACGAGAAAACATGTAATAATTTCTAAATTGATACAGCAAGTGGCATTTCATGAAGATTAAGGAAAATCATACGCGCTAGGATCTATGTGTATATATTTTTTTATCAGCTGTTAAAATTCATACAGAAAACGCAATAAATAAATAACTGTGATAAATTGATAAAGAAATTATATACAGGGTTTACAAACGCGCTGTTTAGTTTTAACAGAATTAGTCTTTGTGTGAGATGAGGTATATGCGGGGAGAACTTACTTGAAAAAGATAATTTTTCGGATAGAATGAGAGAGAGACACACAGTCAGACAGACATATAGACAAATAGAGACAGAGACATAGGCAGACAGTCAGGTGTGGAAGTGGAAAGAAATATGAAAAAATAAACGGGAAAAATCAATAAGAAAATTTCTTTGATTTTTTTCCTATTTCTACGTATGTTTACGTGTCTTCTTCAGGGCAACTGTTTCCACGTCGTCAATATCAGCTGTCATTGAATACACAAATCACCACCAATCTTATCACGAATCAAACAATACCATAACCTAAACTGAATAACCCAAATCACACTAAAACAAATCCAAACTCCCTATGAACAATCGGAGAAAACAAACAAAACGACACAAAATAAATATCTAAAGAAACATGGCAAGGAAACCCTCCTCTCGGATCCGGAGACTAAGCGACCCAAACAAACCGGGAGTCGTCGTGTTTATCTCGAAGCGGGCGACTTGTTTTTATTTTTATTTAATATTTATCGATTTGTTCTCCATTTAGTTAAGACCGATTCTCCTTTACAATTCGGGGGGCATATGATGATATTGATTATTAAATAACATAGATGTTTTGTTCCTTATTGCTGACATAAAAGTTAATGACGTACAGGTGTGTACAGATGCTGTCAAGGTAGAGTGGATGTAATTATATACTAGGATAGTTGATATATATCAGATTACGTTCTTTTTCCGATGGATATAGAAACCAAAGTGTGATTATTTAAAGGCAATTTATTTTTCAAGAATGCAGAAAGAAGGCAGTGGTTATTTGACCGGCAGTCGTCAGTTAGAATTATTAGGTGTAGGGAAGATATTGACAGTGAGCCAGCAGTTTCCTGGATTTCGTCTTTAATTATCAGGATGTACGCAATTAGGAATTAGTGAAGGGATTTAGGTAAGGTTTCAAGGTAATTTTTGTGGGTGCTGTAATTTAGAATATAAACATTAACATGCTTACTTGCACAGTTGTACATTGTTAGTAATATATATTTTTATTAACAGTAGATTAATGTTTCTGTGACTAACCAACTAGAATTGTGGTTCAACTTAATGTCATTTGAGGAAGATATAACCTTTCTTTAATATGCATTTTTGTATCTGTCTTGTGTGATAATGCGGCATATGTTATAAGTCAAATATTCATTAGGAATAACAAACGGGAGAACTATTGTTCTTATGAACTGCAATACAGTTGAATGATGGTATTTATGTAGAACAGGATATTTATTTGCAATAGGTTGAAGGAAACATGAAGGATATAGTTATTTAATAAAAAGTAAGAATGAAGATGATTATCATCAGATATAATTGAATATTATTTAGGATATAAACTTTGGCATGTCTTCTGTTCTCAGTGAGCCATATATGTTTTTGGGTGTTTTAATTAAGAATTTCAGTAAAAATCTCACAATATGTATATAAACATTGCACATTACTTTTAAGAGAATAGTATCAAGCTAATGTGAAATGAAGTCAAGAGAGCTAGTAATACTCATGAATTTTGGGTTCTAGGTTTACTTATTTTGCAATGCTACAAAAATCAAGATTATATCTTAAGAAAAAAATATTTGAACTGGTCCTTGCTATATTTTTTGTATCCTTTGTATTGGAAGTAATTGTAGTTTTGTGCTAGTAACGTTTTCTGGAAGAATATCCATTGCCTTCATAATTATTTACTGATCCATTCATAGTGGTTCCCAAAGATATACAATAATTTGCTTATATCAGTTATGATGTCATTTATTTTTTTACTTTATGGCCTAGATAGCTGAGTTTCTCTTCTAATTCAAGAGGCTTTATTGCCCATGGAACAAGTGAGCTTCATTATATCTTTTTGATAGAACTTTTTAAAGCTATGCATGATTGTAAGTTTTCCCTCTAGAAATACCATGGTGAATACTTTCTTTTCCTATTTCAGTTCTTTATGCAGTAGATTTACCTGCATGGAAATCCTGCTTATTTACATATTCAGGTGACCATAAAAAAACATATTAATGATTCAATTTCTTTTATAAATTATGTGAAAGTATATAAAAACATGAATATATCCTAATATTAATTTCATGATCTCATAACATTCATAAGCAATAATGTTGACCAGATTGAATAACAAGATATAAGGAAAATGATGAAAAGTTTTGACACCGATGATGGACGGGGGAGATACCATCGGCTCGATCAACCAGAGGAAGACCTTTATATAAATAGGTAAATATATATATATCTGAAAAAAAAAATCAAAATGTCAGTTTCATTGATATTTATTATTTTTGATGACTTAAAAATAGGATTTTCACATGGAATGAGTTTTGGGCAAATAAAGAGCTTAGATGTCATGTATGTAAAAAAAAAAAATGAAGCAAAGATATTCAGACTATTTATATTGAAGGATTTATATATTCATTAATAATTTTTTTTTTTCTAAATAGCCTTAGACTAACATAGACCTTGCATATGCCAATAACCCCATGCAATGATTTAGATATAATCGAACTGTAACCTGCTTGAAGCTTATCTCAGACCTAGTCAGCCGTTCCTGAAGGAATCCCTTTCTTATTAGAATTCCAAGACTGCTGAAAATAAGGCCAGAGATTGCTAAGTGAAGGTGTGGTTGACAGCTCGCAGATTGTTGGCTACCATTACACATATTACGTTGCTGTGGATGTAAGAATGAGCAAATAGATACAGCTTTGGCTTTAGAACTTTGGTTAATAAGGCTGCCTGCCAAACTACCTGAGTTCAACTGGAAAAGGGGGATATAAGTAAACAGAATTTAAGGTTAAAACTTTTGAAATATCACGAGAAAGTTACAAATGAATACCTACGAAAAGCAGGATGAATTATTTGATTTTTCTGTTGGACAGCTTTCATCAGAAATATGTTTTTTATTCATTTATTTGTTTACTTATTTATTTATACAATTATTTTGAAAGTAGTCCATTTGCATGTAGGGGAGAGTAATAAATTGACAAATAAAGTACATTGTTTGAAACTGTGAGGATAAATAACAAGCCGTATTGTTATCATTTTCATGATTGTTATTTTATTATTGTTAATGATATTGTTATTGTATTTATTCTTATTATTGTTATTATTGTTGTTGATGTTACTGTTATTATTGATGTTTTTGTTATTATTGTTATCATTATTATTGCTCTTGTTGTTGTTGTCATTATTCTATCATTACATTATTATTATTATTATTTTTTTTTTTTTTTTTATTATCATCATTATTACCATTGTTATTATTATTATCATTATTGTTATTGATATTGCTGTTGATAATATTATCATTATTATTATTATTATTATTATTATTATTATTATTATTATTATTATCATTATTGTTATTATGATTCTACTGTATTATTATGATTGTTCTTTTATTGTTTTTGTTATCATTACTATTATTTTTTTATTATTAATATTATTATTATTATTAGTAGTAGTAGTAGTAGTATATTTTTATTATTATTATTGGTATCATTACTAATGTTATTATTATCTTAATATTACTATGATCTATATCATTGGTATTATAATTTTGTTATTTTTATTTTCATTATTATTATTATTACTATTGTACAAAGTATATATTATAATCAGATTTCAACATATTTTCTTCATTTCTGTGCCTTCCTATGTGAGCTCTGTTTGCTGCGTGTCTTACAGGGATAAAAATGGGAATTGCCCTAAAGTATTTGATTAGAAGTTGGGGGACAGAATTGGCAAAATTATACATGTTCCAAGATGGCTAGACATTTGGCTTACCTTCGGTATAGAGACTTGCTACCACTTCGATGTCTTTGTAAAATTGTCAACCTTTGGTAAGTACAATATTCTGTAGAGTGTATGTGCTAGGTTCTACTGCATTGTGCTTACTCTAGCAATGATTGAATCACACTTCCTTGTACAGATACATGCTTACTTGTTCTATTCTTAAAGGCATAGTCACACAGGCACTCTATACTTTCACTTTATTCTGAATGAAATCTTTTTTATATACTGTACATGCATACATTCAGATACACTTATTCTCACACTCACTCCTCACTCACGCAAACACTCATTCATTTACTCACAAACACACACACACACACACACACACACACACACACACACACACACACACACACACACACACACACACACACACACACACACACACACACACACACACACACACACACACACACACACACACACACACACACACACACACACACACACACACACACACACACACACACACACAGGTGCTTTTATACATAAGTAAAACCATGTATGTGAACAGACATGGAGTGAAAATAGCAGTTACATTACTAGTTATAGATAAAGTTTTCAGAATCTCAGTCGCTCATCCATTTAGTTGAACAATGTCTACTCTTATTTTTACAGTCGAGAGCTGGTATTATAGTTGCTTTATGTAAAATATGCTTGTATCAACATGTAACAGAACGTCTTTCTTTTCTGATTTTCTCTCGTAATTGAAGTTTCTGAAGAAGGGTACCGTATATGTATATATCATGTCTGCTTCTTTCCAGAGAGAGCAAGAGTTAGTGTAAGGTTTAGGTCGACAGGCTCCTGATAACCGTTTCAGTCACAAGTGAGCATAGAAAGGGATGTTGGTCATTCAAGTATTTATGTAAGCTAGATAGAGGTAATACACATAGATATGAAGTGTAAAGTATTTGCAAGGAATTTTAAGAAAATTGGATTGAAGAAAGGAAAAGTTGTGATACTGCGATAATTTTGTTTATGTTAACACTTTTATGAATTTTATTTGCTATGGATATGTGATTTTGCTTCTTTTTATTTTATTTTTTTTTAGAATTATTATTTTTTTTTTTTTAGAGTTGTTATTATTTCATTATGTGATCCAGTGGAGATTGCAGATGACTTCTTTTTCTTTCATAGCCTTTTTGCTTTTATTAGATAGTCTTTGCACGTTGTATGCATGATTTTGTACACCTCATCTTGACCCAAGAAATGTCAAAACTAATGATATGCCTTGAATATTCTCCTCTGCATTGTTTATGAAAGAAGCCCTGGACTGTTCTCTTTGTCATTACAACAGCCACTGATGTTCTAGTCATCTGTGAATCATCTGTTAATTGGCATTTTGTTTTTTATGCTTTTTGCTAAGATTGTCTGTTTGGATTTACTGTTCTGTGTTTTGTTGTCTTTGAAACACTAAGGTAGTAGGGTTCTCTGATTGCTTTAACATATTATAATGGTATAGATGTATATGTGTATTGTCCTTTTGTAGACAGAGGGTAGGTAATACATAAACCTATTCAGGGCTCTTCTTTCAAACACTTTACTCAGTCATGGCGTCAAGGAAATGGGTTGGTGTTGGGAATAGAAATTATTAAATTCGGGTCTCAAGAACCCTATTGGAACCTGAAGCTGAGTGTACATAGTTGTAAAAGTGTTTAATACGAAACTGAGTAGTAAGTTTCCCTGTGTCAAATATAGGGAAATGTATAAATGCAAATGAATAACTTTCTTACTTATGATGACGTCTAATAAAAAAACATCTGTTAGCTATCTTGTGTTGTGTTTCTGGTCATCCCCATTTATACCTTTCCTAATACAAGTTTCACTCTTGTGAAGAGCAGTCATGAGTTCCTATTCATTTATTGCAAAATTTAGAATGATCCCTAGAAGACAAGCTATTGCATTACAATCTCTATTTATTTTTAAATTGCTGAAATAGTATTTTATCCTGTCACTTCAATGAATTCACTTTAAAAGTTCCAGCTCACTGATCTGGTAACATATTACCTTTCCAATTATAAGCAATGAAGCTGACAGAACTTGGCCTGAGAGTAAGTAAAGTACTCACCAGAACTTTGTTGTAAAAGTCAATGAGTAATACTAAGAAGACATATTTTGTAGTGGTTCCTGTGAATCGAGTACTAAAATCTGAAACTTTACCTGCTTTGGTGAACCTCTTATTAGTCTTTGGTGGCCTGATATCTTTAAAAATTACAAAGTTCATTTACTCATTAATATTCTACAACCAGAGTGGGGTCTCTGATATATACAGGAAATGTATCTGATTCTTTCTGTAGTTATATACCATAGATTTCCAAGTTATTCAAAGGAATTCATGTCCCTTATTGACCTTGTTTTGATTTTGTTGTGTGTGGTGTGTGCGTATGAGGACCTGAGGTGAGTTTGTCACTGGTTTTTCTGTACATATTTTTCCTTCCTTGATATTTTTGGGACATTTATATAGGGAAGTAAAGGTTTGTATACGTTTATCCAATATTTTCATGGATAGTAACTCTGTGCAGTCTCATTAAGCTGTGAAAATATATTCATAGAAAAGAAAAATGTGCCTAATATTAATGTATATAAAAATTCTTTTCATATGATATTCACAAAGGAGAATTTCAATTTCACATGACAATAACATAAAAAGTCATATTTTCACTTTTAAAAAAGTTTCCAAAATCACATGAAGTGAATGTTACAATTTATATGGAATCATACTAATTCATTTATTTTTTTCTCACCCAACAGGGCTCAGCTGACTAGAAAGCAGCTGATAATATGTGTGGTGTTAGCTGTAAGCTGCGTGGCAGCCATAGCAGTGGGCCTCGGCCTTGGTGAGTGGTACCCCCCTCCCCCTCCTTCATTTTGGTAATGTTGGTATTGGTGTGGGAATAAAACTTATTTTTATTTTTTATTTTTTTTATTGATTTGTAACTTTGCATCATTATTATTGTTAGTGTTGATGTTATTATTATTATTATTATTATGAATATTATTATTATTATTATTATGATTTATTTATTATTATTTTTTTTTTTTTCATTGTTCATTTATTATCATTGTTGTTGTTGTTATTTTTAGTAACATTTTTGTTATTGTTATTTGTTTTTATGTATTAGTATTATTATTATCTTTGGTATTATAGTATTGCGATTATTATGATTATTAGTATTTTTATTATCAATCATGTCTTTTTTCTCTTTTCTTCTTTTTGTCTCTATTTCCATTTTTGTTTTTTTTGAATGTTTAGTTTTATATATAAGCATCAGATGTTTTTTTCATTATTTTCCTTAATTGATTCCTAATTTCCATTTTTTGTTTTTATTTGAATGTTTAGTTTTTATATATAATATATATTGATTTTAATTGATGTCCATTTGTATTTGTAAATTTGTAGATATATTTATTTATTTAAATTTTATTTTTAATTCTTATTTGTGCATGATTTTCATTTTGTTATTTGTTACCCAGTTTGCATTTTCATTTGTTTTTCTTCATTTGTTTATTTATTTTTGTTTTATTTTGTTTTTATTTTTTTGTTTTATATTTTCCTACTTTTTATTTCTTTTTATCTTTTCTTTCTTTCTTTCTTTTTTTCTTTTTCTTTTTTCTTTCTTTCTTTTTTTCTCTTCATTTCATTTTATTTCTTTTCTTTTTTCTTTTCTTATCTTCTTTTCTTTTTTTTCTTCTTTTCTTTTCTTTTCAATTCTTTTCTTTTTTTCTTTCTTTTTTTTCTTGTCTTTCTTTGCTTTTCTTCTCTTTTCTTCCTTTCTTTTCTTTTGTTTGTTTGTTTGTTTGTTTCTTGTCCTTTCTTACTAATGCATCTCTTTCCACAGGCCTCCCCAGGCAGAGCTCCGAACCTTTAGCCAAGCAGGAGTCCAAAGCACCTTTAGCGGCAGCTGTAAGTTCGCAAAATCAATATATGAGCAGATTTGCGGGGATAGACAGCGGCTGAAAATTGTTAGATAAAGATGTGGAATTGGTAGATGACCCGATAGAATTATTGGGTAAAGAAATTTTTAGATGAAGATTTAGATTTGTTAGATAAAGCTACAAAATTATTAGATAAAGATTTAAAATTACTAGATGAAGATTTGAAATAACTAGATGAAGATTTAAAATTACTAGATGAAGATATAAAGTCAGATATAGAATCAACTGCACTGATATGAGAAGATTGATTGTTTTTTTGTTTTGTTTTGTTTTTTTTCTATGGAGATATAAGATTGTTTGTGTATTAAGTTTCTCTATGCAGTATTAGCATGTTTCACTAGGTACAGTACAGTAACTCTTTTGCTTTGCATATTATATTTGGTGTTTTTGTGAACCTTACAGTTCAAATTAGTTCTCTTGATTGATTATTATTATCATTGATGTTATTTATTGTAAAATTCATCTTCATCTTCCTCATCATATTTGTCATTGTTTTCATCAGAAACCAGCCCCCCCCAGAGCCCAGGGCCAGTTTGAATCATGGGGAGACAGCGATGCGACATCATATGGGGAGGCTACAGAACCTCCTCCGTCAGAGACCGAGCTCGGAGAATTTAACACGGCTGCAGTTAGCTCTGATGGGACCCCATGTGCGCAGATTGCCACGTGAGTTTATCGCTTGTGCTTACGCGTGTTTGTTTTGTGTTGCGTGTCATGCACTCCATATCAAATACTTTGGATTCTCTGCAGTGTCATCAAAGTTTTCTCATTTGTGCATCTCTTTACTAAGTTGCTAAGCTGTAGTGAGGAAAACATCTGTTAAAATGAAAAAGATAATAACAGCCAATGACCAATTAATGCAAGTGTTTAAGGGGTCATCCATTTTTTTCATCATTTTCACAAGCATACAAACTGTATGCTAGGGGGGAGAGGGGGTTAAACCACGTGTACACTTTCTAAAAAGTAATAAAGATTATGCCAATTTTAAAGCTGTATCGCAGACACCTATAATCCTCGGCTATCTCCGAATGTATCGACCCCAATTACAATGTGTTGTTTTTCACATGTATTGATGTATATGACTTGCCTATTTTTATTCCCTATGTCATATTCCCTATGTCATAGATGAAATTTATTAGACTCCTAGTTGCAAGGTCATCATTTTTCCCATTTCAGCTTGTACTCTTTTGGGAGGGGAAAAGTACTCTTTATAGGCTTTTGAAAATAACGAAAAAAATGGATGGCCCATAAGAGTAACAAATCTAAATAGAGTGAAAGAATTAACACTCACATACCTCCCTACAGAGACATACTGAAGAGGAATGGCACAGCAGCAGATGCAGCGGTAGCAGGACTTTTCTGCGTAGGAGTCATCAACACTCAGTCTATGGGTCTTGGGGGCGGGTTCCTCATGACCTACTATGACCGGTCAACAGGGAAGGCCTACTCTTTAAATGCCAGGGAAAGTGCGCCGTCAGAAGCTTACGAGGACATGTATGGCGGGGACGCGGAATTAGCTCAGAAGGTAAAGAGTATGACTGTCTGTGTGTAATCTCTGTCTCTCTCTCTCTCTCTCTCTCTCTCTCTCTCTCTCTCTCTCTCTCTCTCTCGTCTCTCTCTCTCTCTCTCTCTCTGTCTCTCTCTCTCTCCTCTCTCTCTCTCTCTCTCTCCTCTCTCTCTCCTCTCTCTCTCTCTCTTCGTCTCCCTCTCTTTTCCCTCTCCCTTTTTTCCCCCTCTCCCTCTGCTCCCTCCCCTCCCTCCCTCCCATTTTCTGATATTCTCTTCTTTCTTTTATTATTATGGATTTGTTTCTGGTGATATAAATGTGAATTTTTCAGACCTGTTTTAGTGTCCTTGAATTTTGTATAAGTGTCAGTGTGGGTTTTCCCCCCTGTGATTTTCTTCTATTGTCCTGTCATCATTGTTGTCAACATAAGCGTTCTCAGAGGCTGATTTTCAAAGCTTTCCCTCACAATTAGAAAAGTTTTCCAAAAATCATAACCAGTGGAGTTGATACCCCCAAATTTACTCATAATTTATTCCATTTAGCTAAAGGAAAATGGTGGGCAACAAAAAAACCCAGTTTGAAAGGTGAGTCTCGAGTACCGTTCACCAGTGTAAAGCATGCCACACGCTTGCCCGGCCGTGCCTTTGGTTATGCTTGTCTTTGTAACATTTAACAGCAGCATGATATGTTCGATTATTTAGGTATTTTATGTATTTTATTGTTTTTTTTTTAATTTCATATATGGTGATTATGTTCTTTGGTGGTGGTTTAAATGCAAAGAATGTAAGATGCTTGTCCACTTTTTGTGTTTATTTTTAAATATTCATGAATGACTGAAAGTTTTTCTTCTTTTTATCTTTTCTATTGATGGAATGAATTCTTAAAAAAAAAATTGCATAGAAACATTTTGCATTAAGAAATTAGACATGGTATGGCATTTTGACATCAAATGTAATCATGTTCATTATTACTTTTGGTAGATTATTGTTTGTAATTACATCTCTTACAGTTGAAGCCTCATTATGCCTTGTACAATGTGTACATACTTACAGAAATTATTGTTGCTTAAGTAAATGGCAGAAGATTACACTAACAATGGTTATTAAAAAATATTTAGTACTTTTCCCAACAACACAGTATTTTTGCTATTTAAAATATAGGTGATGATTGACTTGTAAAGAAAAATCTTGTTACTTATTTTATTTTAGTCTGCATGATGTTATGATCCTAATATCACTAGTGTAGTTTGTGTACTTGACACTAAAGCAACCGTTTTTTATCAGGGTGCAGAGGCACTTAGAGAATGATTGACTGAAAGCAACACTAATGTGATGTATATTAAATAAGACCATCACCAGCCAGTTATCAAATTACTATCATCACTAATCTGTTGATTTTTAAGTAATTCTCACAACAGCATGTTAGTATCACATACTTATCATTACCAGTCTGTTAAGTGAATAACAGAGTATGGAAGTGTCTTGCTTTCTGTTGTTGATAATAAATGACCATTGATTTGAGTTCTTTACTGAATCTCACTGTCTGATCAGATTTTTGTTTGTTTTTATTACTATTGAGGATTTAATGATTAGAATATTGGCATGTATTAGTGAATTAGTGAGGTATGTGTGCATTTTCCTACATGGATTTGTGAAATAAAATAGGAAGACTTTCAATCTTATTTTTGGACAGAAAGACATCTTTTTCATGAGATAGAAAATGCCTAGCATATTACTAATGCCTTTTCAATTTAACATAGGAGGGCTTGCTGTGGCTGTCCCTGGAGAACTCCGAGGATACCGTGAATTGTATGAGAGATTCGGTGGAAATCTACCATGGGCTGAACTCCTAGAACCCACCATCAAGCTCTGCGAAGATGGGCATCTCGTCAACTGGCACATGGCACGTGCTCTGAAGTTCAATGCGGAGGATATCAAAAAGGAACCAAGCATGAGGTAATGTGTTTAGACATATGATCTGTTATGTATATTGTTTTCGTGGAGAAAGAATCATTAGTGGAATTTGATTGTGTGATGTATGTCTATCCATGGATTTTTAAAATTTCTTTATGTGTAAATAAACTTGCAAATGCACTGACCAATACTTGTACATTAATATGTAATGAAGTGAAAAAATACACATTTTCCAAAATTCATGTATTCTGTGATTTCTATAGTTATCCTGTCATTCTTTCCTCCAGTGTCTTTATTAACCCTGAGACTGGCGATGTGTACAAGGAGGGAGACACGCTGAAGAGGCCCCAGCTTGCTAAGACCCTGAGAGACCTGCAGCAGGACCCCGATGCTCTATATAGTGGTCAGTTGGCGTCTAAGCTGGCTCAGGATATCCAGAGCTTCGGGGGCATTGTCACTGAGGAGGACCTCAGGATGTACAAGTTAGTATGGGGTTTTGATCTGTGTGTGTGTGTGTGTGTGTGTGTGTGTGTGTGTGTGTGTGTGTGTGTGTGTGTGTGTGTGTGTGTGTGTGTGTGTGTGTGTGTTGTGTATGTGTGTGTGTTTGTGTTTGTGTTTGTGTATTTATGTATATCCTTGTGATCTGGGCAAGCAACAGTACACAGATCCTTAACCCATC